AAAAGTGAGAAAGAGTTAAAAGGGATGGTAAGATTAGGCGAGCTACAGCGGCTAAAAACAACAGTGAGAAAATCATCAGGAGAAAATCTAATCTCAGTTGGGTGTAAGATGGTTCAAAAGGACTTACTTGTGTGGCAAAGATAGAATAGATAGATAGCGTTTTTGATCGGATTGTCATCATCTGTGTGATTGTTGTTGTTGTTGTTGTTCTGTGAGAGTGCAGTGCAAAAGCGGTGGTGGTGGTGGTGGTTTGGCAAAGGTGGTGGTGATTACATTGAGCTGACCGTCGTGTGTGATCGATCAAGAGAGAGTGTTGTTCAAGTTCAAGTGTTTGTTTGTTCTTGTTCAATGTGTGTGTGTGTGTGTGTGTGTGTGTTTGTGGCTGTTTGTTTGTTTGTTTTCCCCCGTGTTTGTTTGTTTCTACAGGTCGCTCTCTCCGTAGAGCGCCGTACTGAATGAGTAGTAGTCGAGGGCGCCGGGAATGGCGCCAGGGCCCTTGAAGGGCGCCATTCGGCCGATGCAGTACTCCGCCTGGTCGGGCGGCAGCTCTTTTCTCAACTCCTCGGCGGTGATGTACGGCTAATGAAAAGATAAGTGAAAAGATAAATTAGGTTTTTTTGCCCAAATCTAACACACTCTCAATTTCCCTCACCTTATCGTTAGCCAGAATGCGGAAGGAGTCGATAATCTGCTCGGCGGTGTCCGTATCGGTGCTCTCCCGCGTCATAAAGTCGAGGAAGGCGTCAAAGGCGACGTAGCCGGTGCCGTTCGGGTCGACCAGCGTCATGATCCGGCGGAAGTCATTGTCGCCCTGGCGGTCGTTGCGAATGTTGTAGCCCAGACTGACCAGACAGCTCTTGTACTCGTCCGGGTTGAGGCGCCCGGTGCGGCCCTTGTCGAAGTGGTTGAAGCTGGCGCGGAACTCATTCAGCTGCTCCTGGGTGATGCCCTTCGAGTCACGGGTGAGGATCTGATTCTCCACCTCGTTGATGTTGCGCTGGATGCTGGTCAGCAGCTGCTCCCAGCCGACGCGCAGAGTCTGGGAAAGGGAAATGAAGGTTAGAATCGTGAAAACTTCCCCAAACTTAAACTCCTCTCTCCGCCTACCTCCATAGTGTACTGCGTGTACCGATTCTCGAAGATCATATTCTCCTGCACCTCCTGGTGCACCTTCTCCAGCTCGTCCATGTGCACCTTGTAGAGGCTGACCGCCTCCTCGTACTGCCGCAACTTCGCCAGCTGGTCCTCCAGCGTGCCCTGCATGCCCATGCCGATGGCGGCCACCTGGTCGATGTTTCGCTCAATCCACGGCCCGACCCCGTTGGCCTTCTCCGCAAACTTCCGTCGCAGGCCCTCATTGCGCTGCTGGCGCATCAGCTCCGACTGCAGCGTCTGGTCGCGCTTTGGCACTAGCTGCTTCACCTCGCCCCACTTGCCGGTGATTTCCTGAGAAAAGAGGAAAGAAAATCGAGTAATTATCATCATCCAAAAACCCAACACTTCTCCCATCAGCACACTTACACTTGGCACCAGCACCGTGTAGGGATTCTCAATGCCGCCCGGCACATGGTACTGCGTGGCCATGCTCTGAATCTCCTGGGCAATCTTGATGAT